ATACTAACAAAATAAAGGAGAAAAACATATAATCATCTCAACATATGCAGGGGAAAAAATACTGGATAAAACTAAAAATCCATTTATAATAAAAACTCTTAGTAAATTAGGATTTGAAGGGGAGTTGCTTACTCTGCTATAAGGTTTATTTAAAAAAAAAAAAAAGCAACCCACTTCAAACAGTGGTGAAATGTTGAGAAATTTCCCTTTGAAATCAGGAACAAGATAAGAGTGCCATCATCACAACTTCTATTTAGCACTGTACTGGAGGTACTGATCAGCTGGGTAAGGCAAGAAAACAAAGTACTGTACAGGTCTGTAAATGAAGAAAAAGAAGTACAAGGGTTGTAGAGAAAGAAATCAGCTGTTATTATTCACAACTATAGAAGATCTAAAAGAATATGTGCACAATAGTTAAAACAGTGTTTTACTGGCATAAGGTTGATAAATAAACCAATGGAATAGAACAAAGAGCCCAGAAATAGACTATTGCTATATGGACACTTGATTTATAACAAAGGTGACAATGTAGGATAAGATCTTTTCAACAGGTAGTGCTGAGGCAACGAATAATCATATGAAGAAAAAAAGAAACCTGATCTACACCATAAGCAAAAGTCAAATCCAGGTGAACTATAAGTATAAATGTGAAAGGAAAAACATAAGGCTTTGAGAAGGTATTACAGGAGATTTATCTTCATTACACATTCACAAATAAGGATATACAAATGGCCAACAAACATACAAAAACAGCACTTGATCTCACTAGTAATCAGAAAAATGCAAATTAAATCCACAATAAGATAATAGTATACAATAGCTAAAACTAACTAGATTGGCAATGATAAGTTAGAGTAATGGGACCACTCTCATATGCTACTGGGATAGTGGGTTTTGTACAATCCTTTTGGAAAACAGTCTGGCATTTCATTATTTATTAAACATATGCATACTCTATGACCTAGCAATTCCACTCTTAGGTGGGTACTCAACAAAAATTCTTCCTAGAGACATATGCAAGAATGTTCACAGCAACTTCATCCACAACATGGAAATAACTTGAATGTTCATTAATCATAGAATAGATAAACCCTGGTATATGCATTAAATGGAATGCTATACACCAAAGAAAATGAATGTACAACAACTACATGCAACAATATGGATGAATCTCATAAACATAATGTTGAGTGAAAGAAATCAGACACAAAAGAACATACTTTATGATTCTATTTGTATAAATGCAAACAAACAAATAAGGAACACATGCCTAATTGTTAAAACCATAAAGAAAAACAAGAAAATACATATCATAAACCTCAGGACAGTGGTTACCTTTGCCAGGAAGGGAGGGTTAAATGACTGGGAGAGGGCATAAGGGAACTTGCAGGGTGCTGGCAGTGTTCTATTTCTCGACCTAGGCGGAAGTTACCTGGGTGTTTGATCTGTGATAATTTATGATCTGGTACACTTTACTTTGTTTGATTTTATAATAAAAAATGTGTGAAAATGCACGAATTCCTTTATTCATGGATCACTCAGCAGCTCTGAAGATGAATAACAAAAATCACTGCAGTAAAAAAATTTAGTGCATATTTTAGGAGTTAATCTATCCTATTTAGACTTTTTTGTGCTTTATATTAGAAGAAAGAAGTGTCATGTGATACTTGTCTTTCTCTGACTGGCTCATTTTGCTTAGCATAATACTCTCCAGGTCCCTCTATGCTGTCTCAAAGAGTAAGAGACCCTTCAATTTTACAACTGCATAGTATTCCATGGTGTTAATATACCACAGCTTTTTTATCCACTCATCTACTGATGGGCACTTGGACTGTGTGTTGAAGGCCTGGGGGGGAGGAGGGAGCAATGGGGAAAATAAAGGGTACATTTGTAATACTTTCAACAAAGATAAATTAAACAAACAAACAAAAACAAAAAAACAAAAGAAGGGTCATAAATGCAAATAAAGGTTACTCCATTTACAATCCCACATGTCAGTGGTTCATCTCTTATTTCTGTACATGTGGTCAGCTCTCCATTGGGATCCAGATTATCAAGGGTCAAGTGTTTCCAGGACTCAGAAGACACAGGTTTGTTGAGGCCCTCCTGAATGTGACAGTCACAGAGGTTTTGCTTTTTGTGGGAATCATCAGCATCGCAAAAGACCATGCTTCAAGTAAACATTTGTTCCTCCTAAGTAGCATGAAATAAATTCAGGGCACTCTGCTTCGGCTTTGCTCTTGTAAGAAGAAGGGGTAAGAAACCCTTCACCAAGGTCAGCTTTATTACACTTATTCCACCCAACAGTATAACAGTTTTTCCCCATGTATATATCTTAATTCCTAATTAGCCTGATTATACCACATAGGTGAGACATTGGCTTAAATACTTTTGCATCTCATAGCACAAAGTAATGAATTAGGTACACAAAATAGGCTTAAACAAATGCTTTTACTGCCTATATGGTTTTCATTACTCTGCACATATTTGAAACATAAATCAGTAGTATTTCCACTGGTCCGTAATTTTGGTTTACATCAAGCTTTTCATTGCCCAGGAGAAAAGGATTCTTGTTATTCTGTTGATATCTGCAAAATTTATAAATTTGCCTCTTGAGAGTTGGCAAGAAGCTTGTCCATACCTCATTTGGACAAGACTAAAGAAGTCAGTTAACTATATTTACATTTAAAGCACGTCAATGGTATTAGATTGAGCTCTCTGGGAGTCAAGCAAAAATGAACAGATCCATCTCATTCCCAAAAGATTCTATATTGCTTATATAGCATTTTAGCAAGAAAGGTACTAATTTTATATAATTACAAGCAAAGATGCTAGTGCTTTAACGCTGTTCCAGTAACATATGGAAAGGATATGAGAACCTTGATTCCTATAGTTGCCGAACTCTTGAACTTGAGGAACCTTTCTCCTTAGAGTCCTCAACAATTTACTCCTCCTGCTGTCCCTTTTCTTCACTCCTAGTCATTTGAAATAGCCATGGGTTCCTCTAGGAAGAGTACAGTGAAGCAGTAGCTAAACAGGAGTTGGACTCATTGGTTCTAGAGCTGGACTAGACATTTAATGCTGAACTATCTCTTAAGATCTGAAGATTTGGCATAGAAATCATCACAAGAGCCAGCGTTAGAAAGAAGGTGGTTATTCTGAAAGGTGACTTCACTGGGCTTGTAATCCTCAGGGCAGCCCTTTCTCTTACCATTCCTAAGACATTGTGCACATTATGCAGAAAGGAACTTTACTTCTGATGGTCAGGTCTGAAATCTAATCCACTGCTGAAAACGGTTATGGGGACCTGTCCTATGAGATCCTCCTAATTTCACCAAGTGCCATTCTCCAGAAATGAAGTCAATCTGTAGATAAGCAAGAAGTTTTAGGAAACATGTTGGGCAATTTTATCTGTAGCAATAAAAAACTGCCTGGCAGGAATGGAAAGAGAACATAGACTAACTCAGCTTTAGCATTTACTAGCTGCATGACCGACGTTGGACAAGTGTCTCTGAGCTTATTTTTTCATCTGTGAAATGGGGATTACCTACTTCAGATCTAGCCTCATGCACAGTGGGAGGCGCGAAGTAGGCGAGGAGAAGATGACAGCTATAGTGGCTACGGGCAACGAGTCAGTTTTGAGTTACTTTAGTGCCGCGGCAGAGAGTGAAGGCAGAGGTGGGGCAGTAGGAGCTTATTCGGATGAGGCTGGTTCTGTCAGGTCTCCAAGCACCGCCCACGCCTCCTGCTCCAAGGCTTCTGGCCCCGAAAGCTAATTCCAGAGGCCCAGGCCACACCACCTAGGGCACTAGGGCAACTCGGGGGCATCTGTGGTTGGGGTCCTGGTCCAGCCCAGTCCGAGCTGGGCCAGTCCCGGGGCGGTGCAAACTCACCTGCTTGGCAGGTGCACACAGTCCGTGGCGGGCCCGCGGAGGCGGGAGGCCGGTGGGCGGGAGCTGAGAATGTAAAGCACCAGGCGCATGGCACCCGCAGCCCCGTCGCCGCGGTGGCTGCCGGGATGCGCCGCAGCGAATGGTCGCGCCGGGCGCCGTTCTGAGTGACCTTTCACCCGCGCCCAGCGGTCCCGGACGGCGGCAGTAGGCGGAAGCCAT